GAAAATTATGTCAGTGAAGAAGGCCAGGTGCGGTAGCCACGCCTGTAACCCTAGAATTCTGGGAGGCTGAGGTAGGAGGATCAATTGAAGTCAGGAGTTGGAGACCAGCCCGAGCAAGGGTGAGACTGCCATCTCTACTAAAAACAGAAAAATTAGCTGGGTGCAGTGGTGCATGCCTGTAGTTTCATCTGCTGGAGACGCTGAGGCAGAAGGATCACTTGAGCCCAGAACTTTGAGGTTTCAGTGAGCTGTTATGATGCCACTGCACTCTACCCAGGGCGACAGCAAGACTCTGTCTCAAAAAAAAAAAAAAAAAAAGGGCAGCATGTAGTTGGTAGAGGTTTTATGAATCCATCTACTTTTATGCCATACAGCAAAACTGGCATACATACGCTATCTGCAGATATGAAGACATTTGGACATGTATCAGTGGATATAGTACATTTTGTTTGGATTTGAACAAAATTTGATAGAAATTCATAATTTTGTGGTCTGAAATAGAGAACAGTGGTTGTCTAAAGTAGGCAGAGCACAATTATCAACCTCCTATCGACCAGATGCTGAAAAACAAAAGCTGTGTCCATGGCGTGTTTTCCGTGTTCGTTATCATGGCTTTTGGTAATACAGCAAACATCTATTTCCTTCAGGGAGTAGAGTGAGAAAATGAGGAGCACATGTACTTTGGACCCACCCACCCTCATTCAGTCTGTAGTCTCAGTAAAATAGACTGCTCAAGATTATTAGAACACACAATAATGAAGAATGCTACAAACAGTTGCATGGGTATGTATAGCCATGTAGCAGCTAGAGCCTATTGTCATGGGATGGAGGAATTAATACGGTGATGGTGCTTGCTAACATTTGTTGTGCCCTTTCTATGTCAGCTCTGCTAAACATTTTATACAGTATCCCATTTCAATCTCACACTAACCCTGTGATATTGCTACTAGCATCTTATTTTGCAAGCAAAGAAACTGATGTCTAGAGGGATTACATGACTTTCCTAGGATGTCCCAGCTAATAAGTGGCAGACCCAGGTTTTAAACCCAAGGCCGTCTTCAGGGTTAGCAGTTAGCTGCTTGCTACACGTCACAACTAAATAAAACAAGTCATAAAATTGAATATTTTTTCAGTCACTGTGAATAAGGAGCTACACGACTGATGTCTATCGTGTAGCAACACTGAAGATTGTCTACCAAGAGCCACCTGTGCATGTCGTGTCTGTTGCACGTCCTTAGTACAGTCGTGCATCATTTGACAACAGGGGTGTGTTCAGAGAAATGCAGTGTTGGGCGATTTTATCATCATCATGCCAACAGAGCGTACTTAGACAAAACTGGATGGCTTAGCCTACTTCACATTTAGGATATATGTATTACTCCTACACCACAAACCTGTACAGCACGTTACTTGACCCAGTACTGTGGGCATTTGTAACACAATGGTGTTTGTGTATCTAAACATAGATAACCATAGAAAAGGTACAATAAAAATATGGTATTATCTTACGGGGCATGGCCCATCATTGAGGGAAACATTACGCAGCACATGACCGTATATCATTTGCCCCTCTGAGAGATGTGGGACTTTCTGACCCCTGCTTTAGGAATTGTACCACTTTAATACACACTTAAAAAGTATAAAAAGTAAAGTATCAAAAATCGAGATAGACTGATGGATGGATAATGTGATAAAACAATTACAATAGGATGTTTTTTCTTTTTTTTTTT